CTATTGATACTTAGTTTAATCACATCAAATGTTCTTATAAATTTAAAGTAAAGAATAATATATTAAATATATATATAGTTTTATTAATTGAGAATATTTCTTAATTTTTTAAAGTATTTATTATGAGTTCAAGCTTCTCCTCTTTCTCAAGAGAAATTAAAGTGTTTTTATTATAAATTAATGGCATAATTATGTATTGAAATGGATGAGTAGTTAAATGAGAAGATATTTTTAAATTGGTGATCTGCTTGCTTGGGAATTATGTAAACAAGCCGCAGGGCAACAGTTAATCCGCTTCTATCCCCCTCAAAGCCAAGACTAGCTAGCTATATTAGGACTAGTTCGTGTCTCCCTGAAGTGGATTACGTAATCATTCTCCTCAAATGCGCATCGCAATTCAACAGCAACAAACTTTCCCAATGCAACGACATCCGACATCACCCACCCTTTGCACATCTCTGCTCCATCAGTCTAGTTACTCAGGGACATTGCAGTTTGGCTGGGAAGATCTGTCTGACACGATTGCGGATGGCTCTTTGTTGCGCAGAATCCAAAGACTGAAACTTGGCAAACAACTTGACTTCCATCGCTCACCCTTGATTAAACTGCCTGCTTGCCGGAGTATTACGCGTGAACAACCATATTTTCAGCAGAGAGACAACAAAATAACAACAACTACAACCCATTTTGCTCAACGGTTTGGTGGAGGAGTAAATCCATTCTGGCAGAGGCACTCTCAAAAGCTGCCATTGCTCAGGTCTTCAATTTTATCTTGTGTATTACTAGCACCGTCGATGCCGTAGAGCAAGAGGCAAAACTGGTATTCCATTGCTTTCAAACAAATCAGCAATATCAACCTTCTCAACAACTGTTCAATTCACTGTAGTCTATTTTATATTTGCGCGTGTCCTTTACCACATTATGGCCGGTAAGCCTATGTATCCTGGCTGTGCGTTGTGTGTGTATTTGCTCACCATCAATTTCGGTTGATGAGCATCTGTCAGTTATGCGCACAGCTGGCAAATGTCGCTCTGTACTTTTGGACTCAAAGCTAACTCCTATGTCCTTTCAGCAGATGAACCACGACGCTCAGGCCGAGCGACAAAAGGCCAACATACCAAAAATCATGATCTCCCTGAAATGGCGCCCACGAAACGCAAGGGGAAGTCACAGGGGAAATCCCAGAAACAAACATCAAATGAGCCCGGTCCTGCCCCCAACGGAGAGGAGGATGAGATAATCCGCTGCATCTGCGGAGAATATGAAGAGGAAGAAGACGTGGAACGAGATATGATATGCTGTGACAAATGTTCAGCATGGCAACACAACGATTGCATGGGACTCACCTTTCCCAAGGGACAGGAGCCAGCAGAGTATTTCTGCGAACAATGCAAGCCGGAAAGTCATATGGTACTTTTGGAGAAGATGGCCCGTGGCGAGAAACCATGGGAGGAGGCTGCGAAGCTAAGAGCTCTAGCTGCGGAGGAGAAAAAGGCGCGAAAGAAGAAGGGTGGCAAACGAGGAAGGAAGTACGCTCGGTCTAGTGATATCAAGTCAGAAGTTTATGAGGACGCTGCGAAGAGTGCCTCCGCAACCCCAGCCAAAGAGACTCCTATTCCTGCTCCCCCCAACAGTAATCAAGCTAGCCCTCCAGCTCCCCCGCCTCCCCTGCCTCCTAGCCAGGCCCCTCCCAGCGCCCAAAAGCGCAAGTTTGATGAACAGGAAATTAGCCAACGTGATCCGGTATGTACCTATTCTGATCATGCATTGATTTACGGTATGCTAATATTGCCAATTTCAGGGACCGAAACAGAAACTTCAGCGATTGTCGACGGGTGGCCCAATCGCGGCGTCCGAGGAGAGCTCCCCGACTGTGCATCTGAAATCTAGCGCATCTAGTGCACATTTTGCTCAGGAACAGAAAGCTGGAGGTTCACCTGCTGAGGGGGTGGGAAGCCCGTCGGAGCTTCAGAGTGTACCCAGAAGGAATGTTGCAAATGCCCTAGTCAAACTCTTCGTAGAACAGGCAGCGTCGGCCCAGCAGCAAGGCACGTTTACTATGCCTCCTGGGCAGACGAAGGAAACAGTTGGTGAATCACTGGGACTCGCAATTGAACATGCCATGTATAAACATCTCAGTGGGGGAACGGGAGAACCTAGTGAAGCCTATAAGCAACAGATGCGGACCATCCTATTCAATGTAAGGAAGAATACTTCGTTACGTGATAGTCTGCTTGTAGGAAGTATTTCTCCAGACGCGCTCTCCACAATGAGCACTCATGACATGGCTAGCAAGGAGCTGCGGCAAAAGGATGATGAAATCAAACGAGAGGCTGAGCGACAGCACATTATTGTCCAAGAACAAGGCCCCCGCATCAGACGTACACATAAGGGAGAGGAGTTGATCGAAGACGATACTCAGCTTGGTGCGACAGAATCTATCTTCTCTGCTGCTCCAGCTCGTCGCGACACCTACGACGGCGAACCTCATTCCGCAACGAGCTCCATTGGAGCTCGACCAGCCAGCCCAGGTGTTGTACATCAACCTGAATTCAGGGAATACCGTGGCTCAATAGATCGTCCTGTGGGCCACCAGCGGCCTCACACGATCGATAGCTCCACTTCAGAGCAACGGCGTGCGTCCAGCGCAACCTTTAACATACAAAATGTCTGGTCCAATATCCAATCACCGGGGTCCACGCATCATGATAAGTCGTTTGCCCACGGTACGCCATTACAGCGGGGAGTCCCACCGACTCACAAGGTCCAACCTGACGCAGAAATTGATCAATTGCTCAAAGATGAAGACGTCGAGTCGCCGCCTTACTCGCCAAAGGATTTCCATGGCGATGGCGCAATTTGGCGCGGCAAAGTGTCCATGAACCCTGTTGCGGATTTTTCAGCTACTGCCAAACACGTCGCTGGAGCAGACCTGAGCGGAAAGATCCCTTGGGAGAAATTAATCCCACCCACTCTGGTGATAGATGGCCGTATTGAAACGCAGCTGGCAACAAATTACCTCTGCGGTCTCCGCTTTAGCCAGACGACAGATGTATCCGTAACGGCAATTTCGCCTCCGGTAGCATCACACGATAACGTGGAATTTCAAAAAATATTCGACTATTTCCTTCAACGCAAACGGTTCGGCGTCATTGGCAAACACCCGTTCCCCGCCGTCAAGGATACCTACATCGTCCCCATCGAAGCAGGCCACAGCAAGAAACCCGAATTCATCGAGTTGTTGGAAAACAATACCCTTGAGGACCCTACCCCTGAGCGGACACTCCTTGTTGTCTTCGTGGTCAAGACCAATAACCACTCCAGTCCGCGAGCCACGGAACCCGCCTATACCACTGCCAGCCCCCTGACGGCTACACCAAAAGGGCCTCTACAGCAATCTCAATTTATCACCACGCAGATCACGTCAAATAATATGCCAACCGTTATTGCCAACGCAGCAGCAGCCTCAGGCCCTTGCATCTCAAAGATGGACGGCGTCAGCGAACAAAAATCACAACCACATGAATATAGCCCTTCAGCTCCAGCTCCAGCTCCAGTTTCAGCCTCTGCCTCAGCCTCTCAACCATCACCACCTCCCCTTGCCCCTGAAAACCTCACCGGCAAAGCTGCCGCCGCCCAAGCGCTCGGACCATTAGCAACATCCCCAGCGGTGGAACAGCTACTGCAACAAGCGCCAAATTCAGACATGGCGCAACTCAACCTTATCGCGGGTATCCTGCACCAGAACCCCGCCGCGGCCAACGATTATCAATTGCTGGTGACAAAAATTGTCGAGAATACAAATGGGAAGGCTCAGTAACATTCATTGGGCAACTGTCACTCTTTACGCAGTATTTGTTACTTGTGTCAAATTTTCTCTCTTGTCAGCAGTTGATTTAAATTGTGCGTGTGTATGGATCAAACCAAGGTGCTTCTCAAACAATGTTTTCTTTTTAATAGTTATCTTAAAAATTGACGGGTGAAGTAACTTGCTCTTTTTATTAAATGGAGGCCCAACGCATACCTTTCTGTAATTAATTGGCCTTTTTGTTATTTTTATGACTCTTCCACTGACACGTTTGCTATTGCTTATTGGGGTTTCCACCATGCATCATTTGACTTGTTTTCATAGGATATTTTTCTTCTTTGTTACTTTCATCCTCTTTCCACCCTGGTCAGACTGACAAATTCTCGTTGGGAGTTAAAACATCAGGTGGTCATGCTCTTTACGGTGCTATTGTTTCTTCCCATCCCCTTTCTTTTCTTTTTCCAATTTATCCACCTATTTTTGCACACTTTTATTTACCCAGTTTTAGGCGTGTTTGTGCAAATTGTTATTCTGCAGTGTTCGCCATTTTCTGTCTCGTGTACATTAAATATTTACATGCGTATTTCAAAGCAGACACGTGGTACTTTTCCTCGTTCCTAAAAGCTAGATAGCTATTCTACCACAAAATGGAAGTTTTGAAAATGTCCTCGTCATTGTCGATCTGAAGAAGTCCGGGTCTTGAATCCAATTTATGTGGTGTGTGCTTGTAGAGCTGCCTTGCATCGAGAGGTAATATGTATTTACCTTGTAAATGGAAAATGTTCCGGCGCTAACGACTATAATACCCAATTCCATATAATACATATTCTGAATGGAATTAAAATATGAAAATAGGGGTGTGCTCTTTCTGATATCAACCAGACTAACCAGGGACATAAAATCTTGAGTGGCTAAAGTGTGTGGCTACGCCGGATGTTACATCATTCTGTGGGGTCCGATGGAACAAGAAAATCAATGGAGAGACATAAAATACACCGGTGGATATAAAAGCAGGATGGTATGAAATATCAATTTATCATATAAAGGACATAGGTTTTGTTGTGGGTTAAGTTAACATAGAAGCAAGTAAAGACTAGAAAATCCCTGGTCGAATACCAAAACCAAACGGTTAACGCCAGCGCTATGCAAATTTTCCTCAGTCTGATAAAGGACAAGTATGTAGCCAATATTTCTACCATCGTCCCCCATAACTCCCCCCTCCCCCTCTACCTTTGAACCCTCTATAACCACCTCCCCCGCCACCTGTCCGATACGACCCTCGGCCTCCACCAGCTCTACCCCCCCATCCACCCTCGTTATCATAATCACCACGAGCAGGGGGGCCATCATCATGCCTGGAAGGTGGAAGTCCTTTCAACTCCTTCTGCAAGACATTATAAGTCTCGCGCATCTTCGCATAGCCCAAGTGCATCTTGCCAAAGAAGTGATCTGCCAGACGGCGATCGTTATCTAAACGACTGAGATATGCGCCACACACATCGCATACCTGTAACTTTTGATGGCCTGAAGGTCCAGAGGTGTCAGAAAGGGTTTTGAGTTCACGCTCGCAAGATTCCTTATGGTGTTTTGCCGTGCGGACTTTGTGGAACTCGTTCAGGGCAGTGGAGACGGAGCCCATTTCACTGAGAATAGAGACTTCGAGAAGGCCGTTGTTTATGGATTTGGAGAGGTCGGATATTTGTTTTAGCTGGATGCGAAGGTGTTAGTTTGAGTTTTACGAATGAGTGGAGAGCTATCTCTAGGTAGGAGGAGGTATCGCGAAAAGAGGTATGGAAGGAGAATAAGGGAATGTTGATATACCAAACTGTTTGTCTGACGTATTTCATCTGGCGTCTTCTCTAACCGTCGCTGCGCCGAGTCTATCCTCCGATTACAGTCATCGATATATTTCTGCATGTCGCGTAGGTAATCGTACTCGAAGCCCCATTTTGCTTTTTCATACACTGATGCAGCCTCATACTCTGCTTTCAGTCCCTCACTGTGTACTTTCGGACACGGGCCCAGGTCTTGTTTGGTATTTGTAAAAAGGTCGTGAGGGCATGTGCCGACGAGGTAGGAGCGGCAAACTTTCGGGTCAGTTATTACCACTTGAGAATTGCGCGAACTGCCAAAACCCATCATCTGCTCCGCTATATGAATTGGTTAGTCATCCTCATGTATAGTTATACAGCAAAGAAGGACAGTGGAAGAACATACCGCCCATCAACTGCTCCAGCAGCTTCCTCTGCTCCGCCGCCATGGTAAAAAATGGGTTGGTTTTTCCGCCTAAACCAGCGTAGTGAAATTTTGTTCACGGTAAACAATAGAATATCTGACACAAGGGGTAGGCAATTAGCATGGAAGGTTTCTGGTGTTAAAATACTCCCTAGGGTTCAATTCTTCTATTGTGTTCTCATGATTAATTATTGTGAAGGAACATGGAATAACAATCAACGTCTTGGTTACCCATCGCGCTAGCAACAGCCGATATTAGCGCAACCTTAAAATTTAATCGCGATCACATGATATCCATCAGGCATTCCATCCTCTGCACTTGAGTAGAGACACGACTAGAATCACCCGCAAAATTTGTGTTGTCGGTCTGTTGCAACATGACGGCATGATTTCCAATTCCTTCCTTTTCCTTAGCATCGTCCTTGCATCGCTGTTGCCAGCTGCTTCCGCTGTATCGGAGTACCATGAACAATTAGTCCTACGACCTCTACCTCCGTCCTCTCTTTTAGCATCGTTTAACTTTCGCAGCAATACGTCAATAGAAGCCTTCGAGCATCAGAATTTCCGCTATTTCCCAAGATCATTAGGCCAGATACTCCAGCATGCGAGCACGAATGAGCTACATTTGAGATTCACGACAGGGCGATGGGATGCAGAGAGTTGGGGCGAGCGTCCGTGGCAGGGCTTTAAAGAAGGCGGCACTGGTGTCGAATTGTGGGCATGGATAGATGCGGATACCGATGTTGCGTGAGTTTTAAGGATAATCCGTGGCGAAGTCGTCAGCACATAAACTAGTAATAATTTATAATATAACCAGAGCGTATGCCAAATGGGTTACTCTTACCCAATCCCTTTCCGGACTATTTTGCGCGTCCTTGAACTTCATTGATTCCACTCGAACGACTCGACCTGTAGTGACGTTTGAGCCCGTGGGAAACCACTCATCGGGACATCTACATCTGCTACATGGAACACTACCAGGAGAGGTGGTGTGCACGGAGAACCTGACACCATTCTTGAAACTTCTGCCCTGCAAAGGGAAAGCGGGCATAGCTAGCCTTCTTGATGGCCATAGGCTGTTTGATGCCTCTTGGCAAAGCATGGCAATTGATGTCCGACCCACTTGTCCTGAGGATGCAGATAGGTGCCATGTTGAGATAGAGCAGACCGTAGATATGGTGTTAGACGTGGAAAGATCGAAAAGACCCAGAGGTGAGTGCTCACTTTTACCCTCAACCGAACCAGCTTTTTTGATTACGTTAATATATACGTGCATATCAAAGATAATCCTATTCCACGTCCTGTCCCTGTTGAGCAATTAGTTTGCGATGAATCCAAACCATATAACTCTCATGACACTTGCTACCCGGTTGGCAACAGCGCAAATCAAGGCTGGCGACTATCAGAAGTCTTTGGACGTAACATGCCGGGTGCATGCCCACTTACAGAAGAAGAAGAAAAGAAAAGAAAAGACGTGTGTATCAAGATCCCGAACGATAGGGAGGTATTAGTAACTGCGGGGGCAATCGAGAGGATGGATCCTGATGGCCTTTCCCGCTGTTACTCCCTCCTTGATGATTTTCCATTTGATCTAGTTCTACCGTCTACGTCACTAGATCCCGGAATACCCTTGGAACAACCTATTCTTCAAGCAGAAAGGACCATAATAGGCCACGGGCAAGAAAGAGGTGGCATGCGATCAATCTTAACCAACCCCTCCAAAACCAATCCTGTCGAGTTCATCTATTTCGAGACTCTTCCCTGGTTCATGCGCCCATATGTACATACCCTACAACCTAAAGTGACCAGCCAAAATGGGACGGTCATCCAGATCCCACCCTCAGAGATAATCAAAGAAATCTTCTACCGCCCGGCCCTCGATCGGGAGCGCGGCACGCAACTAGAACTCATTCTCTCAGTGCCGCCCACCTCAACTGTAACGTTGACGTACGACTTCGAAAAGGCCATCCTCCGCTATACTGAATACCCACCTGACGCCAACCGAGGATTCAACGTAGCTCCGGCAGTTATCAGATTGCTTGGGACTAGCGACAATGATAAGAACCAGACAAAGGAAAATTACTCACAGCCACCAATATACCTGCGCACCACCGGCCTGCTCTTGCCTCTCCCTACCCCCGATTTCAGCATGCCGTACAACGTGATCATATTGACGAGTTCGGTCATGGCGCTGGCGTTCGGGAGCATTTTCAATGTTCTTGTTCGTCGCCTTGTTGCTGCCGAGGAGGCACCGGAGAGTGGGATCAAAGCGAAGATTTTGGGCAGGGTCGTTGCCGTAAGGGATAAGTTGAAGGGGAAGGCCGATAAGACGGAGTAAAGTGAATCTTGTGGTTTGAGAGGTGTTGTCGAATAGCAATGTATGGTCCTTTTTGTTGTATGTTGTGTGCACTTGTTCTCTCTCCTTGGCTTTTCAACTTGTTGGGCTTTTCTTCGGCTTTTTTTGGGGGGGGCGATATCGGAACGTTGTTATATATATATCTTGTGCATTAGCTGCCACGTTTTTATATTCCAGTAGCTAGATATCGACTGTATCCATGGATACACAGGGCATATTATTGTTGCGAGGATTAAGATTCCTGGCATTTCTCTATCCAGAAGAACACATTAAGAGAAGAGTAAAGCATCGCAATGGACGTCTCTCCTTTGTCTTCGGAACCTGAATGCTCAGAGAATGGACATTACGGCCAGCAACATACAAACAGCAAGTTCAAACATACAGAAAAGAAGTTAATAAGAATCATTGACTATATTCTCGGTATATGCGAACTGCCCGCAAGCTGTGACCGGTTTATAACCAACAGAATGGTATCAAACGAAATAAAATATAAAAATAAAAGCTTGCATCTTGGGATGGGTGAATTGCGATCGTTATTGAAGGCCCTCCCGATTTTATCAACCAACTCAAGGAGGAATGAATGTTACATAGGTTTAAACTGACAAAATCCCCTGAATCAATGAAAATACGTGAAGTTGAAGAACAATAATCCAACCAGTAGCAGATCCAATTGTGCTTCCTGCCATTGGACAGCTGCAGAAGGAATCGGGAATGCGGTACGGGGTAACATCCATCACGAAACCAACAATCAAACGTACAAAAAGAAACAGCCAGACAATCAACTAAAATTCACCCTCATGAAACACTCTCAGCTTTTTTCTCCGACGTCGTCGACAACGCCACCTGCAAACGACTGCTGTTGCTGTTGCTATTCCTGTGATTGTGCCTGTGCCTGGCTCATCTCCACCTGCTCCGCCCACGACCCCAGCGGTGACATCGGGGTACTGTCCCCATTATTATTACCGCTACCTGAGCCAGAGGCAGAGCCAGATCGATTCTCATTCTCATCCCGCTTTCCATTCCCACCAACCGAAGGTGGTAGCGCGGGGAACTCATCTTCTGCACCAACCCGAGGAGGGAGGGGATTACGGGTAGAAGATACAGCTTCAGTACTACATGGCTGTCTGACAAAATAATTTCCACGACCCTTCCCGCCGCGTCCACGACGAGTGTTCCCCCTACCTCCTCCCCTGCCACGGAAATATCCACTACCATCAGGATCTGGGAAGGCCTCTTCCAAATGACCCCGAGCTACATCCGTTGTAGTAGGAGAAGCACCATCATACGAAAGCCCACTATGTGCATCACGCCGATACAACCTGACACCGCCACTACCACCACGGCCACGCGCCATTAATGCCGATACTGCGAATGCCTCCGCAGACTTCTCAGAATCCCACTCACGCCTCGTCTGCGTATCGAGTTTCCGCTGACGATTCCGTTCGCGCTCGCCATTCATTGCGCGGCGATTCTGCATCTCCTCCCGACGCTTTTCAGCGGCGATTCGTTCGCGTTCGAGGAAGGAGGCTTCGTCGGCTTCTGCGCGAGCATGGGCGGCGGCGCGCTCTGCGGATTTGATTTTGGCTGCTTTCATGCGTTCGGTGAGTTCGTCTTCGGTTAGTTTCGGCTGTGGGTGGTTTGGAGCGTTAGCGGGAGAGAAACAGGTTCAGGACACATATATGTATTGATGTGTTCGTCTCTGGACGGGTGATTGGGCTTCCACGGACCTTCTTCACACCACCTGTACCACTCCTATCCCCTTTGACTGCAAAAGTCCTGGATGCAGGTGCAGGTGTTTTCTGCTCTTTTATTTTCTTATCTTCATCATCGCCTCCATCCCTTTCATCTGCATCGCCATGCGCCGCTGCTCTTTCAGTCTGCTCATCCTTTTCAGTGACCGGTTCGGCTGCCTCCACCTCAGCAGCAGCAGGGGCGTGCGCGGGAAAATCACTTTTCTCTTCCGTCGGCTGTGATCTTGCCCTCCTCCCATCACGTCCATTACCACAACTCCCGCCACTTCTTCCCCTTCCCCGCGCTTTCTCCCCATACCCGCGCTTATTACCACGATTTTTACTATGGCTCCCATCCCTACTAGTCCTCGCACCGCTTCTTTCCTTAAGTTCACCACACAGCTGGTGTTCTGTGGGGGCCGGCGATTGGTGGTTCAATTGCTGCTGATGTCTCTGTAGCGATTGAGAAGTAAGTGGTTGTGGGGGGTCGGGGATTAATAACGGTTGTGTATCTAGGACAGGTTGGGGTGTTGTTGTAGGCTGTAGCTCAAACTGTAGCTCAAACTGTTGTTGTTCGTCGTGGTATTCGATTTCAACTTCGTGGGATGGAATTGGTATGATTTCATCGTCGAAGAGGTCGTCGACGCCGCGGGTTTGGGCGAATTCGTCCATCGTATGGTATGAGATCGGTGGGGCAAGATTTGGGATGGTTTGGTTGATTGTAGGTATTTTGACTTGTCGTTTGGTAAGCCACGAAATAAGAGAGAGGAATTGGTATATTTGGGAATGGGATTATGGCCAGTTATCTTTATGCCGCCTATGGACGGTATAGTTTGCGTGGAGTTGGTTGGGCGAGTGGTTGTAGAACGAGTGACAGGCGTGATGAAGTCCGTGTCTGGCTATCAAAGTCACGGACAAACACGTAGACAACTGGTAATCCACTTATGTAGTCCCTATACTCTGTAATCCGGCACAATCTTGAAGTTGAGAGAGAACCTATTCCAGGCGGTGCGCAAGTAATGCGTCGTGACCAAAGGCGGATCGCTACCCTTCTTTCTTCAGTTAATTAGTTATAGTTATGGACAGAGTAAGTCCCAGACATATCGTACAAGCCAAAGAGGACAAGACATGAAAATATACCGGCTTCGTTCGCTAGAAAGATAGTAAAAACAGCGCAGATGAGGGAGTAGAAACTTACTGTTAAAACACTCGGTGTCTTTGAGGTCGTTGAATGTTCTGACGCATCAGGATGTTTTCGTCTGCGGGGTCTTGAACGGTTATCTATTCTGCCATCATTCACCGCACTGCATAATCCAAAAGGAACGATACCAAGACAGGCTCGGTCATGTGACATCGGGCATTCTATTATAGACTCTATACACGGTAGGCGGGTTCACTTGCGTGGCGGACGCCCGGGGCAGCGGCTAGATACGCCGCCAGGGTTCAACACATTCTCGGACACATTATCGGTTGTTAAAGGGGTAAAAGGGGAGGTGAAGCAACCAGCCTCGGATGACGGTGACAAGGAGAAAAAGGATGAAAAGAGAACAAGTGGCATGGACTACCTGAAGCTACCTATAGCCTACTGGACTGACTGGTCGACTGACTACAATTGATTGATAGATAGGAAGAGAAGTCCAGGAAAAATGAAAGAGAAAAGCCATGGGAAAAGAACATGAAGTAAAAAACCATTACCTATTAGAACTGCTTGGTTATTCCCACATTCCCCGGCCCTCTTTCACAAGGAACTTTAAAAAGACATAAAAGTTAAGAGAAAAAAGGAACCTGTAACGCCGATATGATCTGACCCAAGTGAAATGTAGAGAGAAAAAAGGTAAGAGCAAAAGAAGCCTCAGCTCTTCCATCTAACCATCACATGCCCAATCTCAAAATCTCTGTTTCGTAGTCAAATAATACCCATCGCTATCGTTATTTGAACAATTCCTTTCTTGCTCCTGTGAGCTATTTCCCAGGTAAATTTGGGAAGACTGGATCTAGCTATATATATTAACACTAATTACCCAGCTCCCTTTTGACCATCACATTCATCCTTAGCCATCATCCACTTGTCTCGGTTTTCCTGTAAACTACATCTTGCATGTTAAAAAAGAAGAAAAAGAAAGAAAGAGCAAAATAAAAGACATGAGGATTGTTGTGGAAAGTCCGATAGCAGATAAACAAGAAAGGAAAAGAAGTAAAATGATCGAACCAGTCTTTTAAAAACAGTTTAGAATCAAGTCCCTGCATGCATGCATAAATAGCGAAAACGCAAAGATGGGGGAAGGTAAAAAGAATATGGGGCCCTCTTTGTCAATATGAAATAAAGAGGGAATAATGCATGGGTGAAAGAAAAGAATAATAGTGTGATGGAATAAATGAGACATGAGACAAAACAAGATTTGGACCGATAAAGCTTTGAACCTAGTCCACTCAATTCGCAGTGCAGAGGGATAGATGGATGTTGTTGTTGTTGTTGTTGTTGTTGTTGTTGTTGTTGTTGTTGTTGTTGTTGTTGTTGGGAGAAGAGAGGAGTGGGGGGTCACAGAGCAGAGCAAGGCGAACACAAGGCAAACAGAATAGACATGTAAGAGATGCTGCTATGTGCTGCACCACGTGTGGAATTGAGGACTAAGAGAGATGAAACGCCCCCTGGCCCTCATGGATGGCAACATTGAGTCGCTTACGAAGGATATCAATGTTCGAATAATCGGGCAGTTTCAGATAATTCACGCACGTCATGACGCTGGGGAGGTAATCATCCGGCAGATACGGTGGGTCGCTGGGACGGCAGACGACGGTGAACATGGGTGTTAGGCTCTTGAAACCTGCAAAGGAAAGTTGATTAGCACGCAGTCACTATGCATATATGTTGTCGGTTGGGAGGAATAATGTATTTTGCGTGTGGGATGTGGCATAATGTGGTGTGGTGCGATGCGACTTACCCCCAATTGGCAGCTTGGGACTCCCAGTAACAAACTGTAAAAAGTCCCGACGCTCCTGCTTCGTAAATTCACTCATGACCTGCAGCAAGTTGCGTACGCTGCGACTATCCATGTTGAAGCCGTGGTCCGCTTTCATCGAGTCCATCAAAGCTACAAGGAAGACAGTTAAGTTAGCAGAGAACATGGAAGAGTAATAAGGGTATGCGATAAGCAATGACATACTCTCAATCGACCAATCCTCCTCAACCTGCCCAAACAGCATGACAAGCTCATCCGGCGTAAACGACTGCAAAGATGAGTATGGGAACACCTGCGAGAACCCAATTCGGAACGCTTCGATCTGAGCCTGCACGCCACTGCCCAGCGTCATATCAATAACCTTATCAACGTACGTGCCCACATTATCCATCGTCACAGCAATAGAGGAGCCATGCGGTATCAGCTGGATGTTGGGATATCCAGGCAACGTAAAGTCCAATCCCAAATCTTCCACCCGGAGGCCGTCAATGGTGAATTCTTCCAACGCAACAGCCTTCTCTTCATCACTGAGGGCATCCTCGCTATTAATGGCTGTCTGGGCCGTGGCGAAGTGCTTCACGACCATGAGTGATTTGGCAAGGTCCGGATCGACGGCTTTAATCGTCGCGATTGTCGGGGTGATAGTTGTCGAGGGGGAAGCGCTGTTCATACCGAGGCGGAAGAAGGTGGGGTTAAATGCGATATCGATAATTCTAGAATCCAACATGGAACGCGCAACGAATTTGCCCAACGCCCTGAAGTATTGGAGTTGTTTTTTACCCACCTCCGACGAAATCTGTTCACGACTCATGGGCGCCGGGAACAGGCCCAGTCTACTGAAGACATACTCGTCGAGCTGGTTGGAATCATGTTCCCTCCAGAGTTTGAGCTTCTTCTTGGAAAACTCCTTAGACACCGTCGAATAGAATTCCAGCGTCGGACCGAGACCCGTGCCTACTTCCTCGAAGTACTCGACCTCAAGCACGCTGGGGGACGACCCATACAATTCCATAACCTTCATGGCGGAATCCAAGATGCGTGAGCGAGAGATACGGACCTTCTGTCGCTGCAGTCGCCCCGTAAACGGACGGTCATCACGACGCTGGTCGCGTCGGCTTTCATCGGACTGCACACCTTGCCAACGAGTCATGGCGCGAGCATAACCAAACGATGTCGACTGCAGGAACAAGTGCCGCGTCTCAAAGGGGAATAAGAATGGGAAATAGCGCGCCAGATCTTCACTCCAGCTCGGCAGACAGCTGCTCGCTACAATCAATGGTTCTTCAAGTTGCCGATTCAGTTTTGCGGTTAGTTTTGTATTGATGAATTGTGCGAGTGGCTCCTTGACAACTCTATTCTGATGGCGGCTTTCGGCTAAGATGTCATCAAGCTGTGCGTTAATTCTATGCAAGACTCCTAGGAGTTTGAGGATGGAGGCTGTTGTTGGATTCTTGCTTAGAGACTCCGGCATTCCCGTGGAATCCGTTTGGGAAGGAGTGCTAGAAGTCAGATTTACTGTGGGTGGTTCGGGTGGTGCGGGTCCCTGGACGCGTTTGTACTTGATCGTGTGAACGGCAGACCACACATTGCGGGACAAGGTATCACTCAGATGTTCCCGATTATGGTGAATGGCGCGATATACGGTTGTGTCATTGGAGATGGGTTTGTCATCCACGCGGAACTCAATGTGCCATTCCTGAGGGATCGAATTGATTGCTGCAGCGTAAGAAAACGGACGTCCAGCAAATGCTAACGAGTCACCTAGAGGCTGGCCAGAAGACGGCACAGAAGACGAAGGTCTTCCCGCTGGCGTTGATTGCTGTGGTGTCACCACCCGAGTCCCATCATCTTGACGCGCAGTGATTCTCCCTGTCGAGGCAACCTCCAAGTTAACAGCAGAAGGATCCGTAACTTCATCAGATATATCATCTTCAAGGTCATCAACAATAGCATCCAGCGCATCCTCGTCCTCTTCCTCTCCGTCACCGTCGTCACTAAGCTGTCTCTCATCAGCGCATTCCAAGGGCTCATCCGCTCCATCAGGTCCGTCATCATCAGGCGGAGCTGGTTGATGTCGGTTCGGACGTCGAGTTCTTAAGGACCGCTCTTGCGAAGTTCCTGATGCTGCTGTGCGTGTCGACGATCCACGCTGATTTAGGGATCTATCTGGAACTCTAGTAGTGCGGGAAGAAGTCGCCGGCTGAGGCGGCGGTAGAGGTAATGTAGGCGTCTCAATTGCTCCAGCGAGAGAGCTATCAATACCACTATCGGGAGGCTCTCGAGGTCTCGAGGAGCCAGATAGCTGAGAAAAGATAGTTTCACGATGACGGGAACCTCTGGGACGTTCGGAGAGGCTGATTCTGGGACGGAGATACTCGTCAAGCGCCTTAAAGTTAGCAATGGCATGGATAGATACCATCATATTCTTATATGGTTTAGGAATATCAGACTCCTCATCAGCTACAAGGCGAAGACGCAGCTGCTTTGTGAGCATGGATGTTGTGTTCCTATTGTCCAGAGAATTGTGGTGGACCGTGATTACTTCGAAATGCTCCGTTCGGCTGAGAAGATCATGGAGCTTATGGATCAAAACACAGAACGGAGTCGTGGCTGAGCCAGTTTTGCTGACTGTATCCGTTGAGATGTCCGATTCCATGAAAGCACGGAGAAAATCCGTTCTAGCATCCATTCCGAGCGCTATATAGGATAAACATAATTAGTTGATGAGAAGTTTACAATGCGAAATGGGATACGGGTATCCATCTTACCTTGATCTTTCTTACTAATAACATCCAGCAAAACACGAATGATACCCGAGCTAAGCAGTTCAGAACTCGTAATTCTCTCCAGCGCATCACCATCGAAGTAGGTCGCCAATTGTTGGAAAAGCGCATAGCCATCAGCGTTTTTCCCGTTCGTATAGCAGGCCTCGATATCCGACACGAGCGTCTGAAGTGACTGCGAAATCGCCAGTGCCTGATCATGCATGCCTTTCCCCTTGCTAGCATCGTAAATACGGAGAAACTCCTTAGCACTGCAGGTAACGAGATCCTGCAGGGCCGAATCCATCGCTAGAGATACAGGACCACCTGAAATCGACGAAGAGCTGTCAGACTCGGATATATCGTCGTTGTCGTCTTCCATATCCTCCTCATCGTCTTCTTCGTCCTCTTCATCTTCATCTTCATGGCTATCCTCATCACGATGCATGTCACGGTCTTTTTCTTCATCGTTCTCGTCCGAACCCACCTCGTCGCTCTTTTCTTCGGGACGTCCATTGTCAAGATCCAAATCACGCTTGGAATCCTTGCGACCGGACGCTTTAGCGGACAACGGTATATCGGCAAGCTTCGTGATTTCGGCAATAACTCCCTCACGATGGAATTGGTATTGGTAGATATTCTCAAGGCGTTCAAAGAGCAGCTCAGCGCACTGCAGAGCCAAAGCAACAAGTGACAGATGATCCTTTTGGGACAAAATTGCAGCCAAAAATGAAGCATAGGGCACGGAGCGCAAACCATCCTCAATAATTTGTGCATCCAGATTCTGGAGCATCTTCAACTGAGCCATCAGGACCTTTTGTCTAACGGACAAGTTTACAGTGCTAGAATAAGCGTCTGTCAGGGTAGGCAAGAGGATTGTAGCAAATCTTTTGATTTCCGCTTTACAGTCCTTGAGGAGCGTAACCCTTAGTTCCGCCGCTGCCTTTAACCTTGGCGCCTTAGAAACGGGGTAGATATCGCTTTCCAGACGAGCTTGCAAATGACAGTCAGGATTTGGTAGCGGTTCATTTGGAATACCAGGCAAAAGTTCGCAGATGACGTTCAGGGTCTCAAAGACCTGTTCACGCGGTCTATGGATTAGTGCTTGCATGATGTGAACGCTGTCGATTTTGATTGAGCCACCAGTATCGGAAGGGGGAGACACGCCAGTCAAGATCTGATAAAGCGTATCCACCACATTCATTTTAAGAAGCTCAACGGACAGACGTGGACTTGACTTGGCAGAGATGGCAAGTACACGGAGGAACTGAGTATGGATATGTGGGCCGATCAAATTGGTAGTGCCCGGCAAAAGCAATCGAAGAACGGCCTTCAACATGTCCGCCTCGATCAATTGTTCCAGTTTCTCTGGTTTATACTTAAAGCTTTCGACGACGCGGGAAACACATAGACATCCCTGTTCTACGACTTTTTGGTCGTTGCTAGAGAGGACATGGAGTAATGTAGGCATGACATCTTTTATGACGGGGAATGAGTCGTGAGGTAAGTTGCGGCAGCAATTGGCGGCTGTAATTACAGCTGTACGTTGGGTGCTTGTGGGGAAAAAGTCTAGGTATGTAAGACATGCAGTGAGGCCTCCTTCACGAACGATAGATGTAGGAAAATCAATGGATATCTTGGCAAGTGTCTGGATGATTGTGACAGATAATTAGTTAGAAAGATATACCTTTTGAGTCCTTGGAAACATGTTGGTCCTGGGAAGTATGGAACACATACACTCAGAGCTTGTTCAGCAAGGTCTATAAACTGTATGTCCAGCAGTTTCTGGCAAAGAATAGGCACTGCACCACCATATACAACGTTGGCAACCGAACCACGCAGCGCTTCCATCATGTTAGCAAGACAACGACATGCAAGTAGCATTATTTCCGGGTTTTCCTCTCCCGTCTCGCTTGGCTGCATCAATGTGACCAACTCTTTAACGTAAGGGTCCGGAGAGAATTGGCCCGCTAGGTTATCCTCGTTTGAAACCAGCAACAGATCGGAAAGATCCTGCAATGCGATGAGTTGGACCGACGGATCTTCTTTCATGCGTAGGTTGTTAAGAATATCACGTAGTCGAGAAGATGTGCCCGCCATCATGCCACTCAAGGCTCGAAGCGTGTTCTGCAGTCCAAGAGGACTCCGGGAACCGAACAGGCCACTCCGGAAAGGATCTCCTTCATCGTCATCCGTCAGACCAGAGGATAGATTATTTGGGGCGTCATTTGGATCATTTAGAGGAGCTGGGAGTTCCTCATCTCTCGTTGAAGTCGTCTCTTCCTGCTGATTTTCTTCAGGTTCACTCATCGTGACATCTGTCTCGAGCGTAGAATAGCGCTTTCTCTGGCGTCGTGGAGGGGATGGTGGGTTGGAAGTAGCATCTAGAAGAGGTTTTACTTAGAACAGCGAGTGGATGTATATATCATGGATAAACACTACTATACCTTGGTGGGATTTCTTGGTCCTAGTTGACCGCTGTCTCGGAGCCGTGGATGATGAAGCGGGAGTTTTCGAATTGTCATCCACGGGACGTGAAGAGGGGCTACATTGCCAAACACCAACGTCATTAGCATGTTGTCCAAATTTCAAAATATAGGTACAAACAAGAAGATCCCGTGGAAGATCCGCAATACGTACCCAGGCTGGGACATTGCCGGCTGTTGTCTCGCACCCCGTCTTTGAGACGGAGGGGCCTGATATTCAGTTGCTTGTCCCTCAAGTTTCACTCTCTTTGCTCGCCGTGGGGGTGAGACTGGGGAGCGTTGTTCAGGGTCGTTTGGCCGGCTCGAGGACCGCGTGACAGGGGTTTTTCGTTTACGGGCTTGGGGTGGCGATTGGGGGGGTTGGTTTGTATCGGATGTAGGACGAAAATTCGAAGACGAATGGGGTTCTGCCGCGAGCCTTGCAGCAGAACGAGTGATCCTGGGGGGCATTGAGAAGTTTTTAATTTCCTTGTTTTATTTAACCGCAAACCCGGAAGGAGAATCCGATGCAAAGAGAAAAACGTAGTAGATGGGGAAAATAGGAAGAAGCAGAGCCTATTATCTCTCTCGTTTTTGTTTCTTTTTTTCAGGCTCTAAAGTAGTGTTAAAAGTAAAACATAGAGTAGGAGAAAATAAAGCTTTCAAAAAGAAGAAGCAACAGTAGTTTATAGGGAGAGAGAGAAAAGAGAGGAGAAGAGTAACGAAGAGAGAATGAGAGAGATCAAGAGATGGATAGAACAAGAGAGAATTAGAGGAGGGGTTAATACCTATGAGAAGGGGGCGGGTGAGTTGAGAGAGCAGCTCCCGGAGCAAGAGGAGAGGAGGAGGAAGTGGTGGTGGTGGAGGCAGGGATAGCAGCGGCAACGGCAGAGGAGGAGGAAGTCTCCGGGGTCAGTCCAGACTGGTCAGAAGGAGTAGCAGTTCGCTTGGCCATAAGTGTGTCACAGACAGATGCCAGTCTTCAACCCGCCATCCGCAGTTTCTGAGGACCGAGGAGTGGAGGCTTAGACAACAAGCACGAGGAGGTGAGGGCGGTGGGATAGACGGATATCAGGAGGAGAAGAAAGATTGTGGAGCAGAGAGCTCGACTCTGTTATGTTAACATCTGCAAAAATGGGTAGTGAGTAAGAGGGGGAACGGAGGATAGAGGATAGAGGATGGATTATGGATGTTAGAGGTTGAAAGAGATAAGAGAGTGGTTTGCAGTTTATGGTTGTGGTTGTGGTTGTATGTGAAGGTGTATGAGGTTGTGAGGTGACGATGGGCAGAAATGACAAACAGCAAACGCCAAGCATCAGAAGAGTCTCAACACAACTCTACTCCTACCTAGGCGCTTGATATCTATAGTTATATCATAATAAAAAATGTAATGCTTTTAGATGATGAATGTGATCTTCAGAAGTTCTCATATTAAGCTTTTTATTTTCTTTTTCCTCTTTTCTTTTTTCTCTTTTTCCTCTTTTCTTATTTCTTCTTTTTCTTTTCTTTTTTTTCTTTTTTTCAAGTTAGAATGATCTGTTATCTCTTCATTCCTTCACAAATAATGAAAATCAAACTTTGCTTATTATTTCCACCAATTGTCAATGCACTTATACATAAACCTGATACAATACCCATATATGATATGATATAAAATATATTAAATCAATATATGATTACTTTGTTGAAATCACTCTTTACTTCTTTTATATATTTTTATTCATCAAAATAAAATAAATACTTTATAGAATCATGTGAATAATTAGTTCTTAATAGATAAAACAATATTTATAAAAGTATTATTTTATTTATTGCTTCAATTTTTTAACAGTACTCTATTTCATCTTTTTATATTTAAGAGTTAATGTTGATACTCTTTACAGAGTATAGTAACTGATTATATTATTTCTATAAAAATGCTTAGAAAATAAGTAATAAAGATATTTAAAAAATAAATAAAGTTAAAATATTAAAATAACTAATAATAAATAATATTAAAATTTAATTATTATTATTATTATTATTATTTATTTATTTATTTATTTATTTATTTATTTATTTATTTATTTATTTAAGATGTATTTGATTAGTGATTATAATATCTATTTAATTAAATTAAAACTTAACTATTTTACTAATTTAATTAATAAATAGTAATTAAATCATATAGTTATAAAGTTTTATTTTAAAATAATATAGTATTTAATAATTTTTTAATAAAAAATATATTTATAATTTCAATTTTAATTTAATTTTTTTATTATTTTAAATAAAATAAATATCTTAATATAATATAAAATAAACTTATATTAAAAAATCTTTTTAAAAATATTATTAAAAATATATTCTTAAAATTTTTTAAATTAAATATCAAATTTATTTAAAATTAAAATTTATTCTTCAGAAATAATTTTTATTTTCTTTATAAATTTAATTAAAAACTTTTTTTTAATTTAATATTAAATAGAAATATTATATTTAATTTATTAATTAAATATTTTTTAATTTCTTTCTTATTTTTTATTAATAAGTAATTTATTAATATATTATCTTAATTTTCAACAAGTTCTTTGAATAAAATAATTAGATTTATTATTAATTTTTTTATTAAATTTATTAATTAATTTAAATTTTTTTAATATCAATCAATCTATCAATTTCTTTACTTTTATATATAGAATATAATTATCATTTTATTATAAATGATAAGTATTAAAATCTTTACTTATGAATATTTTTTTATTTATTAATAAATTAAAAAAAGCTTTATTTACTATTTCTCTATTATTATTTTCTTATAAAGATATTCTATTATAAATATTAACTAGTTGAATAGATTTAATAAATTAATATCTTCTTAAAACTCAATTAATTAATAAAATTTTGACTCAAAAATACTCTCATTTAAAAGCTTTTATTAAAATTGATCAATCTCTTAATTTTCATATTATTTAGATCAAATTTGAAAGATTAATTGTTGAAAATATACTTTTTTCATAAAATAAATATTCAACAATATTTTTTATCATTACTTATTACTTTTAATTTAAAAAATATGAAAATTGAATGACTAAAAAATTGATTAGATTAAAATAATTTATATAGATTTCAAAAATATTTATTAAGTTATTATTAAGGAAAAATACATCTGAGCTTTTTGAAAACTTTATCAATTTTAATTTTCTTTTCACTATATTAAGTATCTTCTTATACTGTTTTTATCAAAGTTTATCTAGATATAGTAAAAAAGATATCTGTAAAATATAAAGAGTATATAGTTTAAAATCTCTGCATCTAATCTCTGTAGACTATAGACTAAAGAT